AAACATTTTTAGTGATTTATCTTAACAACTACTGTTAGAAAACGTCAAAATTTAAAATCAAAAGGTATGATAAGGAACTGAAAGAGAACTGCTGTTTTTTTGGGGGGGTTTTCCTCCCCTCTCACCCCCCTACCCCATGACTTAGGCTGAAAATGAAAGGTCTGCTTGCATGGGAAATGGGTCCAGCATCCATGCCCCAGGTCATTACCAAGCCCAAAAATAGCCTCCTGAACAGTGTGTGAGTGAATATTTGTGTAATATCTTAACTAAAAGGGCCCTTTAAGAGGTTCTTGCCAGAGAAAAAAAGGGAATCTATTCTAAAATTGAATGAATGTTTCCTTTTCTAGAGCCTGAAATCCATGAGCAACCCATAAATGGCACACTCTAGGCTCCCTGTCAAGCCCGGGTCTGATTATGATAGCAGCTCTTTGCCTACAGCTAGGAGCCAACAAGTCCTGGAAGGGACCACCACCCAAGAATACTAGGTCCAAAACATTGGAAAAGAACTGTTACTGAATCCAAGCCAATGGCAGTACACAGAGGGTCCAAATGAATAGGACAAAACAATGTTCTTGGTATCCTGTTGTCCATTCAGTCTGACTCGTTTAAAAGAACCAGGTACATACTCACAGTTACAGACTCAGTCAGGACTGTATTTATATTTATTCTTTCTGGATGGTTGGTAGAATGTTGTGAACGGTTTCTGTCTGATCTTCAGCTACGCATGGGAAGTGAAGGAAAGAGTCTTGTTCGTCTTTTGGAATTGAGAGAGGTAGAGAACAGCACTCGCTAGAGCCATCGTAGCAGGAGCAGCAGTTAGGAAAAGATCTCTTGGGGAGGGTGAATCTTGTGGACAAGCGTGAATCACAGCTGTGAGTCCAGCAGTCCATTCCCTGGATGGCGGGGCATCTCCCTCCATCGTCATCCTTGGAGGATCATGATGGCGATCATCTTTATAGATAATAGCACTGAGGCCCTGTCTGCTTTGGCGGTGGAGGAGTCCTGGGACTCTTGCAGTAAAAGTAGGGGGGGGGGCATAGGGAACTCTTGCTGAAGCCAGTGTCTGTGGATATAGACCCTTGGATTTAGGCATGGGAAGGAAGTATAGCCATTTGTCAGAAATACAGGTTCTGGACAGTAAAGTGATTCTGGTCACACTTCAGTGAAAGACAGCTCTTCTTGCCTTTAGGTCTGAGAACATTTCCTGGTGCGACATCTGTCCAAATGTCTAGGGAGGGGGACATGGGACAGACAGGTATGGGGCACCCTACAGAAAGACCAGGTGAGGCTGGCAGCAGAGGTCCAAAGTGGAGTGGGGAGAACAGATTCTTGAGAAGATGGTCAGGTCCTGGGTTCTTCAGGTAGAAGAGGCCAAGTACTGGGGGTACTTTAGGAGGAGAGTAGCAGGCTACTGATGTGCTACTGTACATACAGCTGCCTGGGGGTCATACAGCGATCATGGGGGTCACCGGGTCCACCACAGGGAAGTGTCTCAGCAACAGGCAATTCCCATGCAATGGCCCAGCCTTGGTAAGCCAAGCCTGCTGAACAAAGCAGCTCTGTCACAGGTGACTGCCTCAATCTAAAGGTGACACAGCTGCCTGGAATGCCACCAGACTATAAAATACCCCTTTCTAGAAATGCAAATCAAAACCACAATGAGATACCACATCACATCTGTTAGAATGGTTATGATAAAAAAGACCAGCAATAACAAGTGTTGGTGAGGATGTGAGAAAGGAGAACACTTGTGCACTGTCAGTGGGAATGTAAATTGGTGCAGCCTCTGTGGAAAACAATATAGGGGTTCCTCAAAACATTAGAAATAGAACTACCATATGATCCAGCAGCTCCACTTTGGGGTATATACCCAAAGGAAATGAAATCACTATCTTGAAGAGATAGCTGCACCCCTTGTCCATTACAACATTCTAATATCCAAGACATGGAAACAACCTAAGTGCCTATTGACAGATGAATGGGTAAAAAAAATAAGTGTGGTATATATGTACAATGGAATGTTATTCAGCCATAAAAAAGAAGGAAATCCTGCCATTTGCAACAACATGGATGGAACTTGAAGGCATTATGTTAAGTGAAATAAATCAGACAGAGAACGACAAATACTGTATGGTCTCACTCATATGTGGAATCTAAATAAAATGAATTCTTAGAAACAGAACAGATTGGTAGTTGCCAAAGGTGGGGGATGGGGAAAATGGGTGAAGCTGAAAGTTGAGGGAAATGGGTGAAGGTGGTCAAAAGGTACAAACTTCTAGTTATAAATAAATTATGGGGGGTGTAATGCACAGCCTTGTGACTATAGTTAACAATACTGTATTGTATATTTGAAAGTTGCTAAAATATTGGGTTGTTGGAAAAGTCATGACGCATTTTTGCAATGAAAAACATAGAAAAAAATGTCATGACTTTTCCCACAACCCAATAAATCTTTATAGTTCTCATCACAAGTAAAAATTGTAACTATGTATAGTGATGGATGTTAACTAAACCTATTGTAGTGAATATATATATATATATATATATATATATCTCAAATCATAATGCTGTATACCTTAAACTAATACAATGTTATATGTCATCTCATTGTTATATGTCAAAATGGAAAAAAAGTGTACCTCTTCTCAACATTAAAAAAGTACCCCTTTCTAGAACTGGGATGAAGTTGGATAGGAGTTGGCATCAGAAGCCCTAAGAAAGTGTGGGCACATCATCAGCCCTAATTCTATCTTCTTGGCAAAATCATTAGTTTGGAAGGCTTGGTGGGTTAGGAGCTATGCTAACAGTCCCTCCCCATCCTGGGAAGAACCTACAGATATTGTTAGTAGTATTTCGTGCTGACTGGGGTCATTAAGCAGGGGTCTTACTTAATGCTGCCAGAAGGCTCAGATAAAATTTGAGCAACAGATTAGGAGGCCAGAAAACTCCTCTCTTTCTGGCATAAAGAGAAAGGTGCCCCAAAGATCCCTCTTCCTTTCCCCAAACAGGGAGCTTAGAATTTCCTGACAACTGCGTCTGAAAGAGAGAGGGCTGGTATCTGGGTGGCTGATGAACTGTCTCAATGGCTGCAGAGACTGTGTAATGCTAAAGGCTGGATGGTGGTGGTAGGGGAGCCCAGCGGATACTGGTTTCTGGCTGATTCTAGCTCTGTTAACTGCAGCTGGTATTCTTGCCACCTGAGGAAACTGTTGGAAAAGAGAAAGTGGTGGGGAGCATTGGAGATGAAGCGTGCCCCGGAATCAGCTGGCACAGATCAAAGTGGAGGCAAGCAGAGGGAACACATTTGCATGTTTTCTGTCTGTGACAACAAGAGGTGGTTCTGATAAACAAGTGGAAGGTGGAGCCTGAAGAGGTTCCCTTGAAGCATTGGTACAATGGCACAGAAAGTGCCTTTGTCTGGGGATGGGCTTATTAAGGGCTGAGAGCCAATTCCTGACTACACCTGGAAGGTAAGAGTGTAGAGGGGCCTGCTCCTCATCCCCAGATCCCATCTGACAGAGAGACTGGATTGGACACGGGAGGGTGTCTGAGTCCTCACCCAAGAAGGGAAGCATCAGTTTGAGAGGACACAAGTGACCCTGGCAGCAGGGTCTGGCTCTAGGCCAAGAGGCTGGCAGATTGGGTGGGGATCAAAGTGGATAGGGGCTCAGGGAGAATGTCAGTTCGACAAAGTGGTCACACATGGAGGGCGGGGGGTACTGGGGCTCATAGTGGGGACTAAATCTGCTCCAAAGGGAAGAGCAGCAAGCAATGAGGCACTGACATAGAAAACATTTTTCAGGATTTTTAAGTCCTCAGTGAACACTGAGCATAGGAGCCTATGCAGTAAACAAGGATTCATTTTTGTTGCTGTTGTTTCCCTTGAATCACTTGCTTAGAAGAAGTGACACCTGTGACACCTATGCATCCACCTATGCAGCCCAGACCCATGAAGCTGCAGTAGAAGCCATTCCAAATAAGAATGCTAATCTTTACGCACATCACTCATAATCTGTATTAATTCATGTTAACTTTTATTTGAATCTTGTGTTCTCTCTTATTCTCTACCACTTTCCAAACTTCTGGGCCAGAAGATCTCTCTGTCACCCATGCCCCCTGGCTCACTGCTACATGCTCCCCCTGCACTACACGTGTCCACTGCCACAGACACCCTGACAAGTGAGGTTGTCTTCCTCTGGGTGCCTTTTCCTTTCTCTTGTCTGAGGCGTCTCTCTGGTTCTGAGCCTCTCAGCCTAATATATTTCACAGACGTCCAGAAACCCTTGGTCCAGTCTCTACACAGTAGGAAGGGGAGAGGGAGGAGAGGGACAGGTTTAGTGGGCAATTTCTATAGAGCCATTTTCCCAATTGTTGATTAATTTTTTCATCAATAACAAAAAAGAAACAAACTTTAAATATATTCCTTACTGGTCCATTCACATAAACGACCTGAGGTCTCTGGTGGGGTAATATGCACCCATGGAGGAATGAGTGCTTCTATATGTATATTTACTCTTATATGTGGCCAGTTCTTTGTGACCGAAGAGCTCATGACCTTCTCCAACCTGGGAGCCTCACTGTTCTCGATTCCTGCTGATTCTCCTCCGGAAAGTCTATATTACTAGTCTATGAAGACTCATAATCTATTGTTTTCTTTGGTTCTTCATTGAAGCAAAAGATAATAATAGCCTTTTTGGCTTAATGTACTTGTTTCCTATCCTACTCACTTGTGTTTGTTAATGAATAATACACATGTAGTCAATAAGTGGGAGGCTGATGTGCTTTTGCATTCTCACATGTGTGGCATAGGCAGTCACTTTGGGGAATGCAGTCAATTATAGACAGTGTCCCTCCTTTTAGGAGACTATAATCAGAACTCTTTTTTTTCCCCTAAAAATTGAATTTATGAGCCACTTGGTTTCTTCAAGTATCTCCGAATTGCAATTGTGTTTTATTGCTGTTAGTATAGCTTTAGAGACCATAATTAAGTGGAAATTTACCTCTGATATATTCACCAATGAGCTTTACATTAGCTTTCACATGCTTGACAGTTGGATCAAAGGAACAAATATTCTCGACTAAGTATCTGTTAACATACTGTGAACAAAAAACAAAAGTTATGGGATCAACAACAAGTGGAACTAGAGTACACAATTCACCAGTTTACATATATAAATTTGAGAATAGGCAAAACCAACCTATGGCATTAGAAGTCAGGCTTCTAACCTGGTCACCCTTGGTGTTTGTGTGTGTGTGTGTGTGTGTGTGTGTGTGTGTGTTGGGGGTGATAGGAGAGTACAAAGGAGGGCTTTTGGAATGCCAATAATGATCTGTTTCTTGATCTAGGTGCTGGTTAAAAAAGTTCATTGTGTAAAAATTCTTGCATGATTTCTGCAATTATGATTTGTATACCTAAACTTGTGTGGGTTCTTTTTCAATAAAAAGAGTACTTAAAAAAATACTTACCACTGCTTCCAGTCAAGATGGCAGAATAGGTAAATGCTGTGCTTGCCTCCTCCCACGACCACATCAAAATTATAACTAAACTACAGAACAACCATCATTGAGAATCACCTGAACTCTAACTAAACAGAAGTCCTATAACTAAGGATGTACAGAAGAAGCCACATCGAGACTGGTAGGAGGGGTAAAGACACAGAGTGGGTTAGTCCCACACCCATGTGTGGAGGTTAAACATCAGGAGGTAAAAACCAGCTGCGGAGGACCCCCGAGGAGTGATGAGTCCCAGCTCCACACCAGGCTCCCCAGCTCAGTGTTTCAGAGCCAGGAAGAGAAGTCCCTGTAACTTCTGGCTGTGAAAACCAGCAGACATTGTGGCTGTGTGAGATGAAGGGCTGCTAGAGTCCCAAGTGTTCCGCTTAGAAGTCCCAAGTGTTCCTCTTAAAAAGCCCAAGTACAGACTTGCTGACATACTCACTTGCTCTGAGCTTCAGTGTTGGGACAGGCGCTCAAAAAGCACCAGGGGCACATGGGGAGGAACTGGATTCAGGGCAAGGGCTGGAGGGGCAGCTTTCTTCTAGACAAAAGTGCTGGCAGAAGCCATTGTTCCTTTGTTGAGCCCTCCCCACTATCCAGCCTGCGCGCACACAGGCAAGTGCCATATCTGAGTCTGCATAAGCTTAGCTAACTCCATTTGTCCTGCCCTGGTGACTCCTTAAGACCCCATCCCACCCAACTTGCAGACACCTCCACTCCCCCGCCACCATGCCACTTCCAGTTGTTTTTCCATACAAATGCCGGTCTTGGCTCACACTGTAGACTTTCCTAAAATCTCTCAAAGGTTCATAAACTCCAAACAGCAGCATCTGGACTCAGCATGCCCTATACCTCTTGCTACATATCCCCAAGCCCAGCATTAGCAGCAGCCAACCTCAGTTGGCAGCGTAGCCTCTTCCAGGCACCTCCATGCCCACACAAGTGGCAACCACCTGCATATCACTTCGTAGCTCATACCTAGTGGCCCCAGGCAGGGCACAGGCAGTGGTTGACCTAGGCCTGCACCAGAGTCCCTCCCAAGAGGACCAAGAACCAACACGCCTGGTGGCCAGCTTCAGACCACACCAGAGCACCACCCAACCACCTCCACAAATGACACACCCAAAGGGCAGATTTGGCAGGCACCAGAGCCCTGCTAAAGCAAATCCTGCTCTATAGGGTTAGCCTGTGCATAACAGCTCCCACTCTAGTCACAGCCAATCCTCACAACCAATCATCCTGAGAGACAATCCCTCCCATTGACATGCCAACTGCATCAAGGTTCAACTACAAGAGGGCACACACAACACACACAAGGAACACACCTGGAGCCCTGGCTTAGGATGCTGTGCCATTGGGCCCCTACTACATAAGGCCACTCTACTAAGACCAGAGACATAACAGCTGTACTTAATACATAAAAACAAACACAGGAAGGCAGCCAAAATGAGGAGACAAAGAAACATGTTCCAAATGAAAGAACAGAACAAAGCTCCAGAAAAAGAACTAAACAAAATGGAGATAAGCAATCTACCAGATGCAGAGTTCAAAACATTGGTCAACAAAGAGATAAGAAATATAAAAATGGAGATAGACAATATAAAAAAGAGCCAGCCAGAAATGAAGAATACAATAACTGAAATGCAGAATACATTAGAGGGAATCAACAGTAGATTAGATGAAGCAGAGAACTGAACCAGCAATTTGGAAAATAAAGTAGTAGAAAACACCCCGTCAGAACAGCAAAAAGAAAAAAGAACCCAAACAAATGAGGATAGTTTAAGGGAACTCTGGAACAACATTAAGCATGCCAACATTCACATTATGGGGTACAAGAAGGAGAAGAGAGAGAGCAAGGAATTGAAAACCTATTTGAAGAAATAATGACAGAAAACTTCCCTAACGTGGTAAAAGAAATAGACATATAAGCACAGGAAGTGCAGAGAGTCCCAAAAAAGATGAACCCAAAGAGGCCCACACCCAGATACATCATAATTAAAATGCCAAAGGTTTAAAATAAAGAGAGAATCTTAAAAGCAGCAAGGGAAAAGCAATTAGTTACCTACAAGGGAGTTCCCACAAGACTGTCAGCTGATTTCTCAACAGAAACTTTGCAGGCCAGTAGGGACTAACAGGAAATAGTCAAAATAATGAAAAACAAGGACCTACAACCAAGATTACTCTACCCAGCAAAACATCATTTAGAATCAAAGGACAGATAAAGAGCTTCCCAGACAAGAAAAAGCTAAACGAGTTCATCACCACCAAAGTAGTATTACAAAAAATGTTAAAGGGAGTTCTTTAAGAAGAAAAAGATAAAAAATATAAATAATAAAATGGCAATAACAACATAGCTATCAACAGTTACTTTAAATGTAAATGGATTAAGCGTATCAATCAAAAGACATAGGGTGGCTGAATGGATAAGAAAACAATACCCATACATATGCTGTCTATAAGAGACTCATTTCAGATCAAAAGACACACACACAGACTGAAAGTAAAGGGATGGAAAAAGATATTTCATGAAAATGGAAACAAACAAAAAGCTAAGGCAGCAATACTTATACCAGACAAAATTGACTTTAAAACAAAGGCTATAACAATAGACAAAGAAGGACCCAATAATTCCACTTCTGGGTATTTACCATATTTCCCTATGTATAAGATGCACCCTTTTTTGAAAAATTTGGGATCTAAAAACTGGGTGCGTCTTATACAGTGGTTGTAGATTTTTTTACTTGCATTTCCCGCTTTTTCGCGCTGTTGCCTTTACGCTCATTGTTTCGTACTTGTTACCGGTATATTACGGTAGGTTACGTTTTTGCCACGTTCTGCCCGGAAATGGCTCAGAAAAGATTTTCGGACAGTGCTAAATTCAAGTTAAAAGTGATCCAGTTTGCAGAAGTGAATGGAAATCATGCTGCTGAACGTAAGTTTGGTCCTCCTCCAACTGAGAAAACAATCCGAGACTGGCTACGGGAAGAAGAAACCCTACTGAAAACGCCACGGCAGAAGGTGGCCATGAGAGGCAATATTTGAAGACAGTAATTTGTCATCAGATGAGGACAAGCTAATGGTTGGGAGTTTTGATAGTGATGAGGAGTTATATGAATTTTATGATGAATAAAACTTGAGTTCAATAACTTTATGTAATACATTTTTTTTTCAAATTTCAGACCCCAAATTTAAGGTGCATCTTAAAATTTGAAAACACATATGTATCCATTTATTCATTACAGCATTGTTTACAGTAGCCAAGACATAGAAGCAACCAACCTAAGTGTTCCATCAATAGATGAATGAATACAGAAGTGGTACATATATACAATGGAATATTACTCAGCCATAAAAAAGAATGAAATCTTGCCATCTGCAACAACGTGAATAGACCTAGAGGGTATTATGCTAAATGGAATATGTCAAACAGAGAAAGACAAATACCATATGATTTCACTTATATGTGGAATCTAAAAAACCAAATAAACATACAAAATGGAAACAAACTCATAGATACAGAGAACATGTTGATGGTTGCCAGATGGGAGTAGGGTTGGAGGGTGGGTGAAAAAGGTGAAGGGATTAAGTACAAATTGGTAGTTACAAAAGAGTCATGGGGAGGTAAAGTACAGCATAGGGAATATAGTCAATCATATTGTATAACTATGTATGGTGTCAGATGGGTATTAGATTTATCAGGGTGATCTCTTTGTAAGGTATATACAGTAAATAATCACTGTGTTGTACTTCTGAAACTGATATAATATTGTACGTCAACTGTGATTGAAAATAAAAAATTATTTTAAACTTACCAGTTTACACTTATCCCAATTTTTTAAGTCACTTGATAATTCCAACTCTGGATGAAAGAACAAGATAACCGCTGTCAGGATGTCACGTATTAGTTTTGTGTTTGGTTCCAGCTCCTGGGACTGGCTGTCTGGTGGAGATTCGGGCTCTGCTAGAGGATCATAGTCATAGAGTAGCAATGTGACAAAGTTCATGGAGGTCAGCAGTCGGAAGCTTTCCTGCAGCTCTTGCAGCATGATTCGGAAGAAGAGAACTCCAGCCCGCTGGACTTCTCCTACATTTTCAATCTCTGGGAAAACAGAATGACATCCCACATGGTCGTTCAATGCATACGTTACTTTTTCACAGGATTCGGAGCATAATATAGTAAACTTTTTTTTTCCAGGAAAAAGAAGACCATACCCTATGGTTTTAAACAATCTTAGTTTCTCTAGTCATGAAATCAAAAGGCAGAGATGAAATTACACCTGGGGAAGCTCATAGGGGGAGGCATTGAGAAAAGGTGAAAACTCGTGATTTGGAGTTAGACCTTAGTTTGAATACCTACTCTCCCCCTTATTAGTTCTGTTGTCTCTCTAAACCTTATCCTTTTCTGTGAGAGTGGGGCTGATCGCTACGTGCCTGGTGAGCTGTGTGAATTCAATGAGATGATATATGTAAAAGTGCTTAGTCTCAGGCCATACACATAACGACACTCGAAAGACATGAATTTTCTTCTTTCTTTTTTCTTCTTATCCCACCCTATGTAATGGCTGGAAAACTTTCAGCTTAAGTACACATGTGTTAACTCTTCTAATTCTATTCACTTCCTTCCAGGTGGCCAAAGGTTTCCATGCTTTCTTCTTCCCTCCCTTCTGCCCAAATTGGTTTTGTGCTAAGAGTAGCCTAGTGGGTTACAAGGACCAAGGTCTGGTTTTGGCTCTGCCCCTAGCTTGCTATTGGACACTTACTTTGATGGGTATTAGCTTCTTTATCTGTAAAATGATATATTTGATGAGTTGATGCTAGTGGAATTACTATGTGGTTTTCTCCACAGAGGCCAAAAAAACATCTGAACTCTTGTGCACATAAATATAATGGAAAGAACACCCAAACTAGTGCAAATCCAGCTTTCACCACTTGTTAACTGTGTGATTTGGTGCAAGTTGTTTGTTTCTTGTAACTTTACTTTCCTCACCTAGAATATGAGGCACCATCATTCACTTCATAGAGTTATGGTAAATACTAATTGAAATAACATATTTAATGTGCTTGATACATATGGGGCATTTAATAAATGCAAGTTCTGTGTTGCCTTTAGGAGTCCTTTCAGTTCTAAAACCATGTGATTTTAGCAAAAAAAAAAGGGGGGGGATTCCTTACCCTTTACTCTAAATTACAGACCATATTCATCAGCCCAAGACTGCATGAAGGAATATCTTTCATGTGGAAAATCTGTATATTGCAATAACTCATTTTAAAAAACGCATCCTTCATTGCATTGTCTGTGATTTCCCCCAAAACTTACTAAATCCATAAACCCAGACTGTTGCCATAGTCACAATACCTAAGACATGGGTTTTCTTTATTTCTCCAGATAATTCGCCCAGGATTTCATAGCAGGCAGCTTGGATCACCTTCATCATTTTCTGTAGATCTTTAAATTCTCGATACAACAGCATCCTACTTCTGCCAATGTTAAAATCGAGAGCTCCCAAAGCCTCTCCTGTTCTCTCACGAAGTGGAATTACCATGTGATTTTCTCCACAGACAGAGGCCAAAACAACTTCAGAACTGTCCGTACACTTAAAGAGGAAATTTCTGAAAACAAAACAAAATAAGCGTAAGGATATAAAACATCAGCCTGTTTATACCCAAACATATTGAATCCCTCTCCTTGGTGCCTACTGCACTCCAACCCGTCAGCTCTTGTAGCTGTTTCACCTGCCTGGACCACCCCATCCCTTGGTTTCACAGAGCTCCTTCCCTCAGCTCATCTCCTCATAGAGAAGCCTTCCCTGACCACGCAAATCTAAAGTAGCAGCAACGCTAGTCATGTTCCGTTATGATACTCTGCTTTATTGTCTCCACCATCCTTATACTTAGATAAAGGAATTCGATTGTTCAACTTTTTTGTTTACATGTTGTTCGGTAAGTGTTGGTTGGATGCCTGAAGGAAGGATGAGTGTGGTAGGTTCTCTAGAAGCAGAGCCTGAGACAGGGATGCTTATGCAAATAATCTATTGAGGGAGCGCTCTCAGGAGACACCTGTAAGGGTCTGAGGAAAACCGGATAGGAAAGGGGGAAAAGCTTCACAAGAATGTGATTTCTGGTGAAGTCTCTCTCAGCCTGATCCCAAGGGGGAGCTTGGAAGGCAGGCTGTACCAAAATCTGCTCCCCCTTGAGGCAAGGAAGAGGTCTGTTGTCAGTCATTGTTCCAAGTTGCTCTGGGTGTGTGTGGTGAGGGTGTTTACATAATCCAGGCATCTCATGGTGAGGGGTTCCCATCTCTCACGGGCACTCCTCCAGAGAAAGTGACAGTGTGAGTCATTAGCAGCAGTGCCTGCAGCAGCTGGCAAAAGGTATATGGGGCATCTGGGCAGGGCATCCACAGCGTCTGCTTCAGTGAGGGACCTGAGATTTTCACAGAAATGTGGTGGCTGTTACTTTTCCTAGTGAGGTATAGACACATCTCTTTTTATCTCTTTCCCTTGTCCCCATCTACATTGATATTGAGAGGTCACTCCTTTGGGGTATCTGTAAACAAGTTGGTGCTTTGCATAGCCTCAAAAAGCACATTTTTAGTTCATAATATCAATCCTACAATGACCTGTAAGATTATGTCTTTCTTTTGCTACTCCCGTCCCTCCCTGCAGCTCAGCCACCGCTTTGTGTCTTTAGGATAACCACAGTAATGATGCATCATGATTAACTTTCCAGGCATGATGATAAAGCTGATTGGTCAACGGAGTTCCTCAAAATGCACCCGCTCTAAGGCACACACAGGAATCCAAGGTTATGCGTCTGGGTGTTACAAGGAATCCCGTAAAACTCTTGACCAGCACAGGGAATAACTATGTGGAAAAGAGCTTAAAACCGAATGAACATTCCAGTATGAGGCCACACTAAAATATAATTAACACAGATACCTAAATATCACATTAGCCTACAGTCTGAGATAGGTTATTGCCTACTCAACTACACTGGCCCCCTAAGAAGCAGTCACCCCTTTTACAACAGGCATGTTCTCAGTTAAGATGTTTTGCATCTGTCCACAGTCTAAGTGTTTCTTGTATTCTGCAGGTGAGAGGCATTCAAAGTAACCTAGAACCAGGTACTCATTAAAGACAATGTTCTCTGACGCCTCCCTCTTTTATCCAGTCTACCTTCTTTGAATAAAATATACTTGTTCACAACCCAGCTAACCTTAAGGTGAGGAGCTCTGATAAGTGATGTGGATGCATTTGTCATAATCATGGTGGGATTTTGTTGAATTCCATGTTTACAAGAAAATCATAGATAATAAAACACTATCATGCTTAAAAATATGCATTTTTAATGTAACATACCAGTGAAGTATGTTTTTAAAAGGACTTGCGGAAAAAAGGAGTTAATATGACCCATGCAGACAGGAGTTTTCCTCTAAAGCACAATGAGAATGCGAATCAGTGTATGCTAATAAGAGGCGAAAGCTGTGTCTTCAGATCCATCACACAGGGAGGAGATGTCTTCTGGCAGTCAAACAAAACAGACATGAAGATGTATCCCCCTTCGATACATGATTGGATAAAGAAGATGTGGTATATATGCACAGTGGAATACTACTCTGCCCTAAGAAAAGATGAAATAGTGCCATTCGCGACAACGTAGATGGATCTTGAGATTATTATGCTAAGCAAAATAAGTCAGACAGAAAAAGTTGAGAACCATATGACTTCACTGATATGTGGGATATAACACTGAAAACAACAAAGGAACAAGACAGCAAACAAAGAAACAAAAACTCATAGACACAGACAACAGTTTAGTGGTTACCAGAGGGTAAGGGAGAAGGGGGGTGATAGATGAGGGTAAAGGGGATCAAATATATGGTGGTGGAAGGAGAACTGACTCTGGGTGGTGAACACACAATGTGATATATACATGATGCATTACAGAATTGTACACTTGAAACCTATGTAACTTTACTAACCATTATCCAATAAATAAATTTTAAAAATGATGCATCTCATACCTGAAGATGCATGTCTTCCTGAAGATGGTAGGGGGATTTTTGTGGATTTCTGTTAGACCCAGGGGCCCTGTAACCATCATATTGCGTAAAACATAGTCTGAGCCCTTGAAAAGAGGAAGAGGTTTCATTACAGATAATAATTAGACTTCATATTCTCATTAAAGCTTTTAGGAACAGATAAATAGGGAAAAAAATTAGAAGAGTTTAGATGACCTCTAGCTTTAAGTACACTGACATTTTACTTGTTCAGTGCCATCAAATTGTAGAAGAAATTGTGAAGGAATGAGGTGTTCCACAAGAGAAAAATTTCAAAACACAAGAAAATTCTTTTAAATGCACAAACTTATTTTTTATAGTTGTGATAAAATAGTGTGTTTATATATATTTTTTATATAAAAAGTGCACTGTAGGACACTTGGAAAATACAGAAAAGCTCCCTCCCCTACCCCCAGAATAAGGACAATAAAAAATATTTTCCAGTGAGGTCTTTGTCTTCATTACTTCACCAGAATTGTTCTTGTCAAGGTTACTAGTGACTATCTCATTGTCAGATCCCTAATCCTCATCTTCCTCTACCTCTTGGCCGCATTGGACACAATGAACAGTTCCTTTCTTGATGTATTTTCTTCCCTTGGCTTTTGGGACACCATTCTCCCCTGGTTCTCTCACTAAGCACTCCTCTCATTCCCTTTGCTTCTTTTTTGTCTCCCTCACCTCTAAGAGGTTTTCAAACTGTAGGTCATAACCTACATATGGGTTATAAAAATATTTTAATGTCTTTCTTAACAGCTTTATTGAGGTATAACTGATATACAAAAATGCACATATTTAATGTCTACAATTTGATGAGTTTGGACTAATGAGTCCTGGTCAACTTTTTTTTTTTTTTTTGGTGGAGACTAGTTTGTTTATAAGAAAGTAATATTAACATTCTGTAAAATACACTAAACTGTAGGAAAGACAAATTCACTTGGGAGAAGCAAAGAGGGTTTTTTATGTTCTCTTTAAGAGAATTCTTTGATTAAAAGGGAAACTGTGATAATAGGATCCACAGGGCTACGTGATGGATGGTGCTTGGAAGAACAACTGCTTTGTAATGTGAAACTTTCCCTTGCCCCTCTACACTCCATGACCTCAAGTGTTCTACCAAACTCCTTAGATGAAATGTTTTCAACAGAATCTTTGCAGCAAACTGTAAAGATTATCCTGCATTGGCAGTTGGGCTTCTAGATTCTTTCCTAATTTATTTCTTCCATAGTTTGTTGTTAGGTGTTATGCCTACTAGGCTGCTATGCTTTTTTTAGAATCTTGCTGCGACTGTGTTTCTAGGTTTAAATCTTCAGCTAAAACCAAACAATTCCTCTCCTGTTTTCCCCATAAAATTGTGTAACTTGATCACTTCTGCTGTTAGACCAGAAGCATAATATAAAAAATAAGGGGCTTATAATAATATGCCTGAAAATAAGTTTGTTTTTCATTTACTTTTACTGGGACCAAGAAATTATAAATTCAGCAAGTGCCTCAGCAATTATTTGTTAGTGAGATAACGACTTTGAGTTAAAATTTCCTAGGAAACCATTTAGAGAAAGAGAGGCCATTATTTTTTCCTCCATTTTCTTCTGCTACTGGTTTATTATATTTTTCTCTTTACCTTTCCAATAGCTATCCATTCTCACCTTTCTCATTACACATTATTTATCTTTAGTATTTATCCCATTTTGTCTTTTTCTCATTTGACAAACATTTTTTAAAAGAATGAAATAAAATAGAAAATATCACATGTAGTAAAAGTAGATAGTATTTTGTTTTGGGAAACACCTGATGTGTGTGTGTGTGTGTGTGTGTGTGTGTGTGTGTGTGTGCGTGTGCGCGCGCGCGCGTGTGTAAGGGGCCAGGATATAAAATGTTTTTCATACTGTAAGTCATGGTCAGTAGAATTTTGAGCCACAATGATTCCAAACACTTGAAATGTCTCTGGGCTCAGACCTCAGATTTTTTTTTTTTATCTTCACTTATTACCTTGGTCATCCCATCCAGTCTCATGTTTTTTGTTTAGTTTTTGGTTATTTTGGTAAAATATACATAGCATAATAGTATCATTTTAATTATTCATAAGTGTATGATTCGTAGCATTAAATACATTCACAATGTTGTGTAACTCAGTCCCATGGTTTTAAGTACCATTTATTCACTAGCCTGGATTTCTGCCCAAACACTAAGTTCATATATACAACTGCCTCTTTAGTAACCTCCACTTAGATATATAACAAACATTTCAAATTACAGTTAAAAAAATATTTTTCAATTTAGTAGTTATCTTTTATTTAACTTTGTATATATTTCATTATGAGAATAATTGAGCTTTTCTGCCATGTTATTAACTATTTGCATGAGTTTTATTTTGTTTTATTTTTAGTTTTTTTAGTGGACTTGGCCTTTGCTTATTCTTCTTTTGGAATTTTAAAAATCTCATTGATTTGTGTACAGCAGTGTTAACCCTTTGTCAGGTATGTGGCAATTTCCACCCCAGTTTGTCAAAAGCAATTTATGTTTTCTATAACTTTGGTGCAAAAACGTTTTACTTTTTTATATAGTCAGTGTATCAACCTTGCCTTAAGTGTTTCAACTTTCATATAGGCTTAGCTATCCTTCCCCAGACAAGGTTATAAATTCCCTGTAATCCTTGCCAGTGATTGTAAACTCCACACCCTGGCTAATCTATAGCTCAGGATAGATTGAAAAGGGTTTTCTTTCTTGGGTTTTCCAAATTGGAACAGGAAGGAAAGATTATTTTCCAGTTACTAAGCATCTGGCTTGCCTTGTGGAGCAAGACCCATCTATCTATAGCCAGAAGGACAAAGCCAAAGTGTAGAGGGAAGCAAACCTGAAACTGGGGAGAGAAAGAACATGAGAGAGCCCTGATGGTGTTAAATCCCTGGACCTGGTCATCCTAGACGCCAGTTTGACTCCTGCCTTTTCTTCATTTTGGTCACATGAGTCGATCAATTCCTCCTTTTGACTACAGAAGTTTGAGATGGAATTCTGTCACTCTCAACCAAGGATCTTGAGTTGGGGCCATGAGAAATATGTCCCTTGTTAGGCTAATAGCTAACTAAATATGGTTTTAAAATATCAGCAAGACGATAACATCTAGGAGCTCTGTTACCCTGGGAAAGTCGAACACTGCCCAGCCTTGCCTACCTTCTCTGGACTAGGCTCAATGAAGTACGTGGTGATGGTGGTAATGCCTGGAGCGATGTCATAGAGCCAGCTGATGCCAGTGATCACCACATGCAGGATGTGCTCCCGGCTGTGGACATAGTGATAGGCAGTGCTAAAGGCGTTGGAAACACCCTGTAGAGACAGGAAATTTAAATCGCCATTTCTTTTTAAAATAGCCAAATAACTAGTAATGCATCAATTGGGTTATATTTTTCATTAATGATAATCTACTTTCTACAAATTATTCAAGTTCTCAAGAGACAGTGTTCCAGCTTCTACTATGAAAAAAGGACCATTGAGAAATCAAAGGTGTTAGAAGAGATCTACCATAAGAGCCACATAACTTATGTTTCCTCATAATCATCCAGAGAAAATTCATAATATGCACAATCATAGAATAATGTCAGAAGAACTAGGTAAACTTTGAAGTGAGAAAAAATGCTGAAAAGCCAAGAACTAATGCCAGCCTTGGGCAGGTGAGTAGGAGCTGCCCTGATCTGATGCAATATTAATAATGCCTGCATCTTTATGTGGCTACTGTCATCAGATCAGCAGTACAGAATGTACTGGATTCCAAAACCTGCAACATGCTAGATTACAGTCTTCTTAAAGGCATAAAGAGAGCCTGTTCCAAAGAGAAGGAATGGGAAGTCCTTAGAACCCATCTTGTTGGTCTTGTTGTCAAGAAACTCTAGGGCCAGCCCAGTGGCGCGTTGGTTAAGAGCTGGCTTGGGACAACAGCTCTGAGCAACAGGGCCCCAGTTCGGATCCCACATGAGGGCCAGTAACACTGCCCTCTACAGCTGAGATGGTGAACAGCAGCTCAACCTGGGGCTGGGCTACCGTGAGTTGCAGGTGGCGGCGTAGGCTGCAGCCCCTGCTGCAGTGGACTGCCATAAGCTACCATGTGGCCGGCAGCCGCATGAGCGGCCGGCAGCCGTTGTGAGCTGCCAAGAGCCGCCGTAATCGGCCATCCAGAGGCCGGCGACTGATCTGTCTCACCCGGGAAGAGCGCAATGTTGATACCAACATGGGCCAGTGTCTTCCACAACTAGACTAAAAAACAAAAAGACAGAAACTTGTCTGTTCCCCTTTCCCTGATTCCCCAGCACTGTACCCCTCCCCCAATTCCCCAATAAAATCTTTAAAAAAAAAAAAAAAAGAAAAGAAACTCTAGGAACCACACATTCTTCAAAATTATATACATTTTATAATAGGACCCAAGGCATCTAAGGGTAACACAGGAGCCTTTACCTCCAGAGGCTAGGGAATCAACTTATAATTCATTTTTGACATGTTCTCTAACAAGTCTATGCATAGTTAACTTCATACTCCTCTGTTTTGCTTCATTCTTATGTTAGATGAGAATGAAACTTATTGTTTAAAAAATGTCCAGAGAAAATGATTCTACCATTTTCCACAGTTATACATGCAGTAAGTGGGAAAAGAGATTTTAAAATGATGGTAAATAAACATCAAGAGCCAGGGGCTTACAGGGGAACAAACGATAAAAGCATAGCAAGTTCCTGATTGCAGCTACATCCCAGTCCATTGCCTCCATAAAGGCTTTCAATCTTCCTTCACTGCAATTTCTCTTTACAAAATTAAATGTAAATGCTTATAGAAAGGATCCAGTTATTTTATGGTCTTAAAAATGACTATTCTTTTTTTTTGTGATCTAATTTGAAAACATGAATACTCAAGAAACATTTAAGCTTTTTCCTTCATTCTTCATCCTCAAAAATTGTAACACTAATATCAAGAGTATGGGAATGCATATCATATTTAGCACCATTTGTGGAAAGAGCAAAGGATTTCTAGGTACCACTTTATTGAGGATTTTTGCATCTATGTTCATTAGGGATATCGGCCTGTAGTTTTCTTTTTTTGTAATATCTTTGTCTGACTTTGGGATCAGAGTAATAGTGGCCTCATAAAATGTGCTAGGGAGCCTTCCCTCCTTCTGTATTTTTTGGAATAGTTTGAGGAGAATAGGTATTAATTCTTTTTTGAATGTTTTGTAAAATTCGCCTGTGAAGCCAGCTGGTCCAGGACTTTTGTTTGTTGGAAGCTTGTTGATTACTGACTCAATTTCTTTGGTAGTAATCAGTCTGTTCAGAGTTTTTGTTTCTTTTTGGTTCAGACTTGGTAGATTGCAAGCTTCTAGAAATTTATCCATTTCTTCCAGATTGTCAAATTTGTTGGCATATAGCTGCTCGTAGTATTTTCTCACAATTTCCTGTATTTCTGTGGGATCTGTTGTCACTTCCCCTCTTTCATTTCTGATTTTATTAATTTGGGTCGTCTCTCTCTTTTTCTTGGTGAGTCTGGCTAAGGGTTTGTCGATTTTGTTTATCTTTTCAAAAAACCAGCTCTAGGTTTCATTGATCTTTTGTATTGTTTTTTTGGTCTCTAGGTACCACTTTAATGAAACATAAATATGTCCTTTCTAAAAGTTCATTCTGTGCGTATGTGGGTCTCAGCAGTCTAATAGTTGGATTTTGGTTCTACAGCATACACTTCTGTTTCTATGATTAATGCAATGGGACACATATTCACAATATTCCCTAAGAGTTTGAGGCATAATGTGCAACTGAGGCTGAGAGTCCTTCCATGTGTAATGGGGAACCTCTCCAAAGATGGACACGTACACACAGGGAACTGAAACCAGTATGATGACACTGTCTATCTACATAGCTCTACCTTCACTTGGTTTCATGTTTTGCTTTTTAAAAAGTATAGAAGGAGAGGCCATCCTACCATTGCTATTGAAGAATTTTTCTATGACTTACCTGATAGAACCTCATCTCATGAGGTAAGAAGATGTTTATTTTATCGGGATCTCTTAGTGTGTCAACAGCCATGACCCCAAAGATCCTCATATGTGCATCCTGAAGAGGCAGAGCCAGGAATGATCCATTTTGATCAGTCTCCTGGCGGGAATGGTTCCAGAAGAAAATGTTCCCATGGTGTTGAACTTGGGGGACGTGGATCAGTGTCCCTTCATCCACTACTGTAAAACTGAGGAATAGGAATGTGAAGATGGGAGAAAGGCACAGGAGGGGCTTTAGATTAACCCATGCAGAAAACGAAACCAAGTCTCCATTCATATCATTGGCATTATACGTCAGAGAAGGGAACTCATAAAATGACCAGTTTGACTTGAGAAAAAATTAAAAAATAAGCTTAGGCCATAACTGAGAAAACAGGATGCAGGAGACATAGCTTATAGAGCAGGCAGAAATAATTGATACTGTGAAGCAGGGTCCCTACATGGCAAATCAATGCCTAAGGTGAGCTCTAGAAATGATCAGGTGAAATCATCTAAGACTGGAAACCCATCACCTCCCACTCAGACCATTACTGGTCTGAGGCAATTTCTCGTGTGGACAGCTAACTAGGATTTCAATGCTAGTTTACTTTAGAAAGGGAATTATTCTTGAGAAGGGTGAAACCAACCTTTTCAAGAAATTCTTACCTGATTCCCTTCATGTCCCTGTAGAGCACTCTGTTCAGTACGAATGGAGCATCATCTAAAGTACAAGCTACATTCCTCAGTAGAACTGTCCCTCTATCAGGCAGTAGGACGTTTTCTTCTAAGAGGGAAATGTGAGCACTGATCTTCTTATTTCCATGGGCTTGAGCATCCTATGGCAAAATGTTTTGCACCATGTATTTGCCAATAGCTATTCTCTTAATCACATCTCCTTGATTAGCCAGTTTGTGCATCTGACCCCAATAATTTCGTTTTCATGGATAAATGATGCAGATTACCATTCATGGGCAGTGAGGAGAAGGTTGACACCACAGCTCTTCCCCAAACCTGAGTGATAGTCAGTGGAATGGGTTTACTTTATACCAACTAGACGGGTTTACTAAAAAAAAAAAAAAATCTCTCAAAATCTACTCAAAATTAGAGGTTTAAAACTTGGATCTCTTTGAACTATAGTCATCTTATCTGGGCTTCAGTTAAAAGTATTTTAGAGAGGTAGGGCAAGGAGCTGGCTTCATTTCTCTCATATTTCTTAATCACCTTCTATGATATGAATGTGGGAAAAAATGCTCTCATTTTTTCTTAACATAGTTTAGCTATGACATTTGATTTATGTCATTTTAGGAAAGGATTTCTTGGGGCCCCAGATTGCAGACTTGTTATTTCTAATTGAAATAACTGCAAATCCTCTGTACCTAAAATATTATGTTATTAAAAATATTATGTGTTAACACATATATCAAACATGTCCACAAATTGGAGACACTTTCCTTGATATTAGCCTCCTCTTTTTATGTTTGGGATTGCTTTTCATGCCTTTTCTCTTCTGCCTTTCTTCCTCTTTTTACTCTAAAAGATCTATAAAGAAACTAAGAAAAATGTGCTGAGATTTCTCTTAGGGTACTGTGGATCTCTGAAGCAAGTTGGAGTAATAACCTCTTTTTTTTTTATTGGTTTCCAGTTCCTGATCACATCATTTCAAATTGCATTGGAAACCTCAGCCATTCAGGAGATGATTCAAATAACCAAGTGTTGCTACTTAGCTGAGCTGAATGACACAGTTTCCCTCGGTCAAGGGAATCTGTGATATATGATGAGGCGTGATTGAAAAATATGGTGACTGTTTAGATTAAAAAATTTACTATAGTAAGACACGTTGCCATTAATCCCCCTCAAAATACTCCCCTTCACTTCAAACACACTTATCCCATCATTCTTGCCACTTTCTGAAGCAGTTCTGGAAGTCCTCTTTTGTGTCTTTACTTCATCCTCCAGCATGACAATGCTCCTTGTCACACATTGCTTCTCATACAGCAATTTCCGTCAAATAAAAACATTACAGCGTGTCCTCATCCACTTTATTCACTGGATCTGGTACTCTATGACTTCTGGCTCTTCCTCAAAGTAAAAATCACTATGAAAGGTAAACATTTTGAATCGATTCAGGACATCAAGGCAGCCACGACAGCGCAACTAAAGACACTCACAAAAGAGGACTTCCAGAACTGCTTCAGAAAGTGGCAAGAACGATGGGATAATTGTGTTCGAAGGAAGGGGGAGTATTTTAAGGGGTGTTAATTGCAATGTGTCTTTTACTGTAGTAAATTTTTTTAAATTTAAGCATTCACTATATGTTTTGATCACACCTCCTACATAGAAGATAGCCGTGCTGTTTCTGCCTGGGGGCATCAGCAAGCTGGGAGTCTCCGAAGGGATGACAAAGCTGTGGGCCCATCAGAGTCATGTGTTTTAAGTGACAGGATTCTATAATAGCCTCAGCTTGTCTCTAGGCAGTGCTAGGAAATATCGTGTGATGTTGGATTCTACTTTATAATGACTTTATAATTTAAGTAGTTCCTGTTTAAACTGACTCCGAAAACCTCATGCAAGCGAAATGTAGCTTGAACTGCTTGCAATATCCGCCTATTGTCTGTTCTAGGCTTATTTGACCCTCAACACAAATAAAATTAGAAATTCCAAGACATAGTTCTGTCTAATATACCTGTTATCTCTGCTTCTACTTTGCCAACCTGCAGTCTTTCCAGTTGCTTCTTTCCTAGGCTTTGAGTCATTGTAGTTTATTGGAATGAATAAAACACCCACAGCTGTACCCAGCAAATTTTAAGAGAATTTAGCATGCTCCTCTCTCTTGCAACCATTGAACATCACCTACAGTAAGGAAAGTTTTCCTCTTAGATATCGTTTTAGAAAATGTACCTGTGTGAGGGCTTTAAAGGTCTCAGTGTACACTGGCTCCAGGGACACCCCACTTGTCTCTGCAGCATGTTGAATTTGGTGCAGCCATTTCCGTCTGACATGGTTCCTCAGTTCCTCAACATGGCTCCTTTCCAAAGCAGTCATTAGAAACTCCACAACGCCTTCCAGAACATGATCTTCATTGCCTCTGAGTTCAGATACGACCAATTCTATGTATTTCTGAAACTGTTTTGAGGACAACCTCACTTCATGGCCAGGGCGTGGCTTTGGAAACTGGATGTGTAGTTTAGCTAAAAGACATAAACACAAAACCAAGAATAACCCAAAGCTCATTTATCTGTGGGGGGAAATTTTCATTCTCCTTTTACAGCAAACTGAAGCCCCTGACAACTGTTCCCCATGGAAACCAGGTATAGCAAAGGCATCTCTAAGCCCAACGGAGCATCTTACTGTGTGACTTCCTATGCTAGACTCCTATGTCATCTTCTCTGTTTTTGTTTTGTTTTTAAATTTTTTTTTGAATGAAGTGTAATTTATTGATTTTTCGTCTTAAATTTTTTTTTTTGGGGGGGGAACAGCCATAGTGATTGACTATGCATTGCTTTCATGCTACAATGGCATAGTCGACTCTTTTAAGGAGGGTGCAGCTCACAGTGGCCCATGGGGGGATCGAACCGGCATGGTGTTATCAGCACCATGCTCTAACCAACTGAGCTAACCGGTGACCCCGTTTTGTTTTTCTGTTTTTTTTTTTTAAAGATTTTATTGGGGAATTGGAGGGGAACGGTGTTGGGGAATGGGGGGAGGAAACCAGACAAGTTGTCCTTCAATCTTCTTTATGGAGGGCGCCAGTCGCCATCTGGCTTCCCGTCAGCAGCTTGTGACGTCTAAGCTCAAGGTGCTGTGTTCAATCTTAGTTATGGATGGGCGTAGCCCACCATTGAACAGGCAATCTTGTTATCCAGCTGAGCCATCCTGCCACCTGTTGGCTGCTCAGCAACAGCTCAGCTCAGGCACAGTGTCACTGGCCCATGTGGGAATCGAACTGGTGGCCCTGTCGCTCAGAGCTCGTGCTCTTAAGCCAACTCTTAACCAACTAAGCCACTCAGCCGGCCCCCATTTTGTTTTTTTAATTCTACCACTTAGGTGAAAACCCAAGTGTCAACTTTGATTCCTCCCTGCATTTTACCTTCTATAACCAATAGTCCATTTAATTCTATCCTGTTATTCTTTGACAATGTATTTCCATTCCTACTTCCATCATTCCAAACCAGTACTAATCACTTTATAACTGAACTACCAATAGTAAGGCTCAATACATATACATTTATAAAATTAAATTAAAACACAATTTGCATTATACAAGTCCCTGGTTCAAAGTATATTTGGATCTAGTCAATTCTCCAATAATATTTGCCCATAATATCATTTAGGAATTAGTTGCTCCAACATCCCCATCTATTCATGGTCCCTGATCATGCTTTGCATGTTTCTGCATCCACATCTCCCTTTTATGTTTTTATAGCACAGTCATGAATCTACTACCAAACCTGAACATGACCAGTAACTTATGTCTTCCTCTATGTCTCTGCTGTTGTTAAACTCCCTGCTTCTCTACAGCCCTTCCCAATATCCTAAAATTTTGCTTTTGCTTTATCTTTCCCTTCCTTTACTTTCTCAATAGTGTTATTGTGTGTGTGTGTGTGTGTGTGTGTGTGTGTGTGTGTTTGTGTGGTTTAGTTTTGCCTGTTTTTATGCTTTAGAAGAAGGACATTATACTATAGTAGTTTCCTTGGACTTGCTTTTTTATTCAACATCATGCTACTGTATCCATCCATGTTGTTCCTGTGGCTGTGACTTACTCATTGTCACCACTATAATCCATTCTGTAAGTATACCATCATTGATGCATTTATCCTCCTGTCCATGGGCATGTAGGTTGTCTCCAATATTTTGCTCTTGTGAACAGTGCTATGAGCATTTTTGTACATGTCTCCTGGTGCACATGTGTAAGTTTCTCTGACATTTATTATAAATTAATGTCATAGAATAAGTGCCTTTCCCCTTTAAAGTTCAAAATCTCTCCTTCCTCAAGAAGGCTGCCATTGTGAGTTCTCCTTTCCCTGAAAGACAATAGCATCCATTCTCTACCATTTATTTGACAATTAACAAATACTGCCTGGTACTTTTAGTCATCTTCTATAAAAACATCTCATTTCTGGAGATGGACTTTTGTTGATATTTGCTTTTTAGCATCCACTTATCTTTCTCCTAGTACTGGAATCCCAGATTTTGCTTTGGGGAAGCTCCCACCTCAGTTTATATGTTTGAGTGAGGTTTCACTTGTGGTTCTAGAAATGAAGCATGCATCACAGGCCTAAGCCAGTCAGGACATTCTACTCCCCTAGTCAGAGAGGTTGGATTAGTCCAGACTAATGGCAGACTCTTTGCCTGAATGATTAGGTAAAGGACATTTTCCTTCTTATTCTCACTGGACTTGAGTAAACCTGTGAGTATATAGGATTGGACCCAGTCGCCAAAGGGGAAAGGCTATATGAAAATGGAGTCAACATGCAGAAGACAACAGGGCCAGAATTAAGGAGAGAGAAAGAAAAAGAAGCAGATACCTGTTCTAATGTCAATATTTGAACTCCCAAATCTATTTTTTATAGATGGAAAGAGTACACTAAATTAATGATAAAGAGTATAGTATAGCAAATATATAAACCAGTAACAGAGCCATTTATTATCATTATCACATATTATGTACTGTACATAATTGCATGTGCTATACTTTTATCCAACTGGCAGCGCAGTAGGTTTGTTTACACCAACATCTCCACACACATGTGAGTAATGCATTGTGCTATGATGTTACCATGGCTATGACATCACAGGGAGATAGTAATTTTTCAGCTCCATTATAATCTTACGGGAACATCATCGTATATGCAGTCTGTCATTGACTCAAATGTTATCATGAGGTGCATGACTGTAAGTATATTTAGAATAATGTGAGCAAGATAGACGGGAGCTACAAAAACGGGAGAAAACTAGAGTGAACCCTGTGGTATTGGATTGGACTTGGAGGTATGGGTATGAACTTATGGTTTTTAATATTAATCGATATTTACATAAATATGTATAGATGTAAATGTTTGTACACAAACACACATATTTCCTATGAGAAATGGGATCAGGGACCTAAGAGCACTGAGCATCTGTAGAACCCAGTTCTTGGCTTCTAAATACCATTTTCCACTAAAAGAAACCAAGGTTCCTTGGAGAAATGAGTGACTCCAGGGTGGGAGCAGGGAAAGTACCAGATAAACCTAAAAGATCTCATTGTGCCAGAAAGCAAGGAGGTGCTCAAATAATGATGGGTACATTTTTTAAAAGGACACAGGAAGCTGTCTGGCAGTTTCTAATAAAACTAAACATACACCTACCCTGTGGCCCAGAAATTCTTAGGCATTTTATTTAAAAGAAATGAGAACACATATCCACAAAAAAGATTTGCACAAGATTATTCATAGCATCTTTATTCATAATAGCCAAGGACTGGAAACAGTCCAAGTGTCTTTCAGTTGGAGAATGGATTAACAAACTATAGTATAAACCATAAAATGGAATACTACTCAGCAATAAAAAGAAACAAATTGTTGATACATGAAAGAACATGAAGGATCAAGAAAAAATATGCTGAGTGAAAGAAGATTTACTTAAAAGAGTACATATAAATCATTCCATTTATATGAAGTTCTAGAAGAGATAAAACTAATCTATGGTGGAAAACAATCAAAAGAGTGATTTTGGGCCAGCCGAGTGGCACGTTGGGTAAGAGTTGGCTTGGGACGCCAGCTCTGAGCAGCAGGGCCCCGGTTCAGATCCCACATTAAGGCCAGTGACGCTGCGCCCGCTACAGCTAAGATGGTGAACAACAGCTCGACCTGGAGCTGGGCTGGGGTGAGTCACTGGCCACAGCGTAGGCTGCAGTGAAGCTGCAGTGGGCAGCCATAAGCTACCATGAGCGGCTGGCAGCTGGCGTGAGCTGCTAAGAGCCACCGTGAGCGGCCGTCCAGTGGCCAGTGATGGATCTGCCTCAGCTGGGAAGAGCGCAATCATAATACCAACAAGGGCCAGTGAACCGACGTCCTCCACTGTTGCCACGCAGCTGTGCAGCCGTCTGTCCCGTCCCCCCCGCGCTTAACCCTAAACTGACCCTTTTGAGGACACTGTTCATACACCTTGAGTCTCTCTGTTTGGCTCCAAAGGATGGCTGGTTAGTCAACCACGGGTAAGATTCCTCATGGGAGGAACAACCTAAGACAGGCACGGTCGGGTGGAGGCCATTAGGAGAAATCTCAGGGCTGATGGAGGTGGGCATGAGCCCTCACTTGCCCCCCCAAAAGACTGGAGGTTTTCTACCTCTGTGGCTACATTCCTTCCCTCAACCTGCTTGGGAAGTGACCTGATGGCATGATAGTATCTGTCCTCAGCACAATAATCTTATCTTCCTGGGGTCGTTTGCATATAGGGTGTGTGAAGGCAAAGCTTCTGTCTTATCGCTGCAGGTGGACTCTCAGTAATAGCAGTTTGCAGGCATGGGTAATTTGGCTTGAGCAAGTTCTCAGGAATGAGACTCACGGACTGTGGAGAGAACCATGCTACTTCCGGGTAGGTGGGGAAATAAAAGCGGTGTATCGGCCGATTTGGGGCTCTTAGTCCATGAGACTGGAGACCCTTGGCCCCACACTCATTTAACTCTAGACTGCTGTTTCTTTTATTTCTTAACCCTTCGCCTCCCCCTCTCATTCTCCCACTGCTCATGTCGTGCAGGATGTAACACTCCACAACTAGACTGAAGAACAAAACGTCAGCAACTTGTCTGTTCCCCTTCCCTGATTCCCCAATGCTGTTCCCCTCCCCCAATTCCCCAATAAAATCTTTAAAAAGAAAAAAAAGTGATTGCCTTGGGGATTGGGTGGTAGAGATTGAATGGGAAAGGGGTGTGAAGAAACTTTTTATTCTATACCTTGATAGGGGTATGGGAGACACAGATTCTATGTTTGCCAAAACTCAGTGAAAGTACACTTAAAATTTGTGTATTTCATTGTGTGTAAATTTTGCCATATACTATAGCTGGTTAATTTATTCTCCAATTTAAAAAAATACTGTTAGCATATATTGAACTTTAATTAATTATGCATGGTGAAGTATTTAGGGAGGAGTGCATTGATGTCTTCAATTTAATTTGAAATGCATCAAAAATAAAAGAAATGGAAGGATT